GGAATCATAAAACACACGCGAGAGCCAACCCCCGATTTCCTTTTAAAACGGGGTGTTTTATTAAAATTTGGATTGTTCGCTAATTGAAGCGCAACGGACGATCATTTCTTCCGTACGCGTACCAACAGTTGCGTCGCGTTTGTGTGTGTTCCCTATTGATTTCCACAGCGCTGTTCGTGCTCGCGTGCACGCGTATTACGCTGTCTCGCGAGATGAATCTATCCATCGGTTCCCGATCTGTCAAGCCCTGGTAGCTGCGTCGAACCGTCGACATCGCAAATCATCGCATCGTAACTCGCTGCAAATTCAATTTCTCCTCGACGTTCGACTCTCCCTCTCTTTTTCGCCACTGCTTTTCATTATTCGAACGTTTCAGCTTTCGAGTAATTATCTCGTCGTACTCGTGTCTGTGATCTCTGGACGTGGCCAATCAGCGATGCACAGGGTGTCGTCGAAATTCTGATACTGAGCTTCTTTGTGGAACTAATTGGATTGTTATAGTGGGCACTACTTCTTTGTGGAGCCACTTATATTGTTAATAGGAAGTACTTCTTTGTAGAACTACTTGTATTGTTAGTAGGAATTACTTTTTGGGAAACTATTTTGATTGTTAGTAAGAACTATATACGTCTTTGTAGAACTACTTCTTTGTAGAAGTACTTGTATTGTTAGTAGGAATTACTTTTTGGGAAACTATTTTGATTGTTAGTAAGAACTATATACGTCTTTGTAGAACTACTTCTTTGTAGAAGTACTTGTATTGTTAGTAGGAATTACTTTTTGGGAAACTATTTTGATTGTTAGTAAGAACTGTATACGTCTTTGTAGAACTATATACATTGTTAGTAGTAACTACTTTTTTGTAGAACTACTTACATTGTTAGTAGGAACTACTTCTTTGTAAAATTGTTTACATTGTTAGTAACAACTACTTCTTTGTAATACTTACATCGTTAGTAAGAATTACTTCTTTTTGTGGAACTATGATTGTCAGTAGGAACTATATACTTTTTGGTGGAATTACTTATATTGTTTTATTGGAGTGGAACTATTTAGACTGTTAGTAGGAACTCCTTGTTTCTAGAATTACTTAGATTGAACTACTATGATTTTTGAAACTACGACGCACCCAACCAAAGTCTCTCGAAAAATTTGAGGACAATACTTATGAAAATATGTCGTTATTGTGAAAAGGTAAATATTAAATATGACATGAACGAATGGTAGTGAAAGAAAGTTCACAATTCAAGGAAAACACTATAGGTGTTTACAGATTAAACACGGCAGTGACGAATAAACGTTGCGCCGAGTTCTTGAATGATGAGCATGATGAAACGGCACAAATGTACGATGGTAAAGAAGTAATATCTTACGACTGTCAACGTCTGCAAATAACTCTCAACGTGAATGGAAATAGCCAGCAATAGACAAACACATGATATCGACGGTATTCAAGTGCATCGGTACTCAATGAGTTTTCAACATCAATTTGCGCTCGTAAACGACGTGTAATATACTCGCCTCCAAAATGATTACACGCATGCAAATATTTAGAATTTTATCTTTTGCGCATATTCCTGCTTCCAAAGGTTGCGGTCATTGTACCCGAAATACTCTCATTCGTGCTCTGTGAATCTGAATCATCAATAATACTAGCCTTTAAAAATCATTCGGAAATTTTCACGTGAGTTCGAAATTATCAGAAATTCCATACGGTCGCTGTACAATTCGTAGCTACGTTTGTTACTGAATAAACTTCTTATTTAATCTGACTGGTGGTTCGGTCTAACCTTGTGTCAAGTTCACATTAAAAAAATATTATTTTCCATTTTTTTTATTTGGTGTCCTTCCTTCAACGATTTTACCAGTGTTGCCACATTTTTTATAAGATTCTCTAAAAAATCCTAAAGCTGTTAACACGGGGTCAACATTAAATTATATTATATTAGGTGTCCAAATTAATTCATGAACCTCACAATGAATTATTGGCTTACAGCTTCCATCACATTTTTGAGAGTGGATTCGCCAACTGCCCAAGAAATGGCGTAAATATGTAGAAAACGACGAGGAATATTTTCAAAACTAGACAGTATTTTGGTTTTTTGTAAATAAACAACGAAATATATGTAAACAAGGCTATTAATTAATTTACACACCTAATATATAATATGCATAAATTTCAAAATCATCTATTTTACGATTTGCGATATTTCTTCAAAAAATCCGTCGCCATTTTAGCACAGAAGTCGCTAAAAATAGCGATAAATCGGATAATCTGCCAGCACTGGGTTCCACCTTCCATAATGGATCACCCTGTAGATTTCGTTTCTTTCAACCCGGATGAAAGAACGATCGTCGCGAGAGTAGTGGGTCGTGGAGGGTGATCGATGCAACGTGACCGGGTCAGAGGGTTAATTAGTAGACCGTCGACGCGCTAGAAAATTCAAGCGAGTGGATATGCTAGTAGCTTTTCAACGTGCAGAAGAAATTACAATCACGAATCTCGCGACACCAAAAGTTTTTCCCAGTCTGCTTTTCAAACTCTCCCTGATTCACGACGGTTCTTCGATTACTTCCCCGTTCGCAATCTTGCGACAAACTCGAGACGAATATCACTCCTCGACGGTAATTCTCGTCACGAAAATATCGATCGTATCTTGGGGAGTTGCGACGACAAAAAGTGAGATCGAAATTTGCCCAATCACCGCTGTGGTACTGTCGTCGATGCTTTAAAGATGTATTAACATAAATTGTATTTACGAATTTGTATTGGATCAGTGCACGAGTTATGCTCAGTTACTTAATTTCAATGATCCAACGTCTATTAATTACCCGAATCGAATAAGCTCGTGATTGTTTTCCGATGTCTATAGTTCTTCTAAGTATTTCATCGCAAAATCTATGGGTTGTTCAACGAGTAACAATTAGTTATAATTTATTTCAGTAAATACCAATCGCAGTGCGTAGCTAAGGCTACCGCGGGAGCTCGGACGGCAGACTCGCTCTGATTGGTCAGGGTTTTTCGTTAATATCTCGTTAACAAAGCCTGGGATAATATTTTCGCTAAGGAAAAAGTTGTTTCAAATCATCTCACGAACCCCTTATTTCCGGGAGTCGAAGCAATTTTGGGACACCCTGTATAGAAGATTTTCTCGCGAAAAAATGGTTCCCAGGACGAACCCGAATGCTTAGCTGGAACAATAAGCCGTGGCGAGAAGAGAGCGTGGTATCGCGATTCGGTTTCCCTAGGTATATAGAAATAAGTTCGGTTTAGGCGGGGAAATAGTAGGTACAACGGCAATAAAAATAAATAGTAGAAGGCGCCAGACGTATCGATCCTAGGCCGCCGGTTTGTACAGCCGCAGCGGCGCGTCGAGTTAAGGAATTCTTTTCGGCCTCCGTGTGCGTGGTTAACGAGGAGGTGAGCAGCCTGCCCCGTAGACTTCGCAGTCCCTACCAGTAGAATGCGTGATGTTCCTTTCGACGATTTCGCCGCTCCCATTCGTGGAAATGGGTCGACGAATAGTGTGACTCTTCGTTACGAGCGTGTAAACAGAGTTGGGTAGAATTTTATTTAAATAATATAGAAGGAAAAGCAGCAGTATCTAAGATGGTCATTCTGATCTTTAACCCTTTCTTTAAACCTGATCTTTTAATTGTTTTTTAACACGTTGACTGCCAACTACGAGATAACTCGTATTTGAAACATTTCAAAGAGGCTGGATTATTTGAATACCATTAGAATACTTTTCTGTAAAATTAATATCACAGTATAATTTAAAACAAGACAACTCTATTGACTAAACGCATACATTTTCGATGATTTATGTCTTAAAAAACGAAATAAAGTATGTCTGACTACGAACGACCTTTTTCACTGTAGCAGTCAATGTGTTGAGATTTAAAAAAATGTTTGATTACTCATTTTCAGTCAGTAGACTGTTTAGATTTTCTTTAAAAAATGTTTATATGTCCCATAGTTTTGTAGGTACTAAATGTACATACATGTGTACATTAGGACTCATATATCGAGAGAGCACAAATGAAGAAACATGAAAAGATTCAAATTTATAAGAGAAATATTGATCTTTAACACACTGTACCTAAGACTTTGTGTGAAATTTTAAGTAACAGTTCTTTCCCATTGGAGGCATAAATTCAGACTTTACACTTTCTGCACTGGATCCTTGACCAGAAAGGACGTTTTGGGAACTTGCATCGATTTTGAGGCCAAACATCATGCAAAGGCAAATGGTGAATGGTATCGTACTGCATGTACACTAATGCGACCACCAGGTCTGAAAGGGTTAAACAGTTAATGAGATTCAGTAATCATTTTCTAAATGCCTACTCAGTTAAGAAATAATATCATCTTATGATAAACGTTGTAATTTCCACGTTTAAGCAATTGAAAATGGCGAAATACTTTTCTTATCTTTTATTCGTTATTCGAAATTTTTTATCTAGATAATGAATTTGTCCATCTCTGCGTGTAAGTTATAGGCGCGGTCGCGGTTGTATTGTTTTGTTGTGTCTCACGCGTTACACGCGTTACGAGATAATTGTTCGCCGACAGCCCTGTGTAGGCGGCACAAGAAATTCTTACGCTGCTTTATGCATCGATTTCGATGAAACTTTGCTGAAAGTTTGTAGACAAATGGAATCTAAGTTGTGTAGAGTCGTGAGTATAAACGATCAATGCTGGTTTATGGAGATATAGTCGATTCTATACCCGCTGTTTAACAGTGATTACATTTCTAATCCTTCTATTATTGAGAAGCAAATATATGACAAAGTTTTCTGACTTAAAACCATATTTTTCCCATAATTCATTAAATTCTGTCTTAAATCTTCGAAACCGTTCTAAAATATTTCTGTAGATTTCCATTTCCAGAAAAGTCTGCTTTTTCATTTGAGTTGGTATTTCAACTGGTATTTACAAAACACCTTTCTCATTTCTAAATCTCTGCGTATTAATTTCGTAAATTTTCTGTTCACAGGGAAACAATCCGAAGAACGGCTGCCCTGTGTGTGAGAAACACTGTCCGCAGAGATCGCCAAAATCGCAGGAGACTTTGTGCTGGAATCAACAACACTGCCAACAAAGTAATACACGCCAATCGCATACAGTAAACTCACGATAACTGCCTGCTCGATAAATCTCCCGTTAGGAATACCCCCTACTCGCACGCGTTACAGTAAATTATCGATGAGTGTTCGAATTCGACTTTCTAATCAAGTTTAGCACAGTATACAGCTTCCTAACTGACCTACGTTTAGGCCCATTTAAGTTTCAAATTTAACTATTTATCTCTTCATTCTATCAATTTTCTACCGCTCTGTAAAGTTGACAGTGAGGAACAAATTAAGTAAGGAAAATGAGAAACGGATGAGGGTTAAGTGCTCGATAAAAACGCGATAAATCGTGCCTTTTTTAAACATTGTGGCGGAATCTTATTGCTTGAAACACTTTTTCGATGTTTCCTTCGGTAATTCCCGTTTCCCGGACAACACGTTCTGATAAATGTTTCAGCAAGTTCGAAACATATTTAACCCTGTCGTTATTAACGATGGGTATAGTTACCCAATATCGAGCGCTCGTGGTATACTAACGGTGACTATAATCACCCACATGACTGAGTGTTTGTTGTGTCACAAAGGTGACTATAGACTATAGTCTATAGTTACTCATCAAAATTTCACTTCAGTTACGAATGTACTTGAATTCAATTAATTCAAATAATGACATGCTTTAATCGGATGTGACACTGTTTCCGATAAAGTATAGTCTCGCGACTCAACAGTCCCGTATATCGGTAGCACACTCGTGGTCCTCTCCACTGTAACGAAAGGGTTGACCTATTTACACCGATCCTCCAGATTAAGAAATGATCCGTATTACGGAAATATATTTTAACCTCGTATTATTCTATGTATTCATCTGAAAAAAATGTCGAAAAATTGAACAGAAATATTTATTTAAGAAAAACTCATTAGATTTTCAGGAAAAACAGAAGTATTTTTTTAGCACTTTATGCAGTGTACAAAAATATTTGACGTGTGGAATATTCCGTTTATCGGTGCAAATGGGTTAATATTGACTCTTTTTTCCAAGCTCGTTTTTTCACCTATCTACAAAAAAAGCTACCTTTACCTTGACTGCTGCAAGTCGGTTTTTCATGATCCAAATCTCATAAAACTTCGACGTGATATTAGTCAACGATGTGATTTCTCAAAAACAAACATTTCGGTGTGGACGCAGCAACTAGTTTTTTCTATATTTAATAAATAAATAATAAATTATGTTAGATTTGGAGCAGACCGTGTTCATCGACGGGGTCACTGATGGATCCGTCCATGACCCTCGAATCCGAGGGTTAAATCGAAACTGGTCGCGGGGGGAAATTCCCGGTAGACCTCTTCCCCTTCGTCTTCGAGGAGATAAACAGAGAGGAACAAGCGTTTCGAGAAAACCCACGCTACGCCGTGACGCGCTCGGTCCTTTTCTCCTTCCCGGCCGAAATTATCCGATTATTCGTTGGCCTTGCGGAAAATGGATGCTGTCCGTTCCGATTCGTTCTGTCTGGAGGAAAAGGGACGACGAAATTGGCGGCGTGTCACGTATATACGGCGCAACGTGGGCGGTTTCGACCGTGGGCGCGCGCCACGTCCCTGAATTATGGTTCGTCGAACGCTAGGAACCTTCGCGTGTCCCTCGACTTCGATCAAAAAGTTCCTGGAATTTTGTTATTTATTCCAAAAACTATCTATTTATTCGTCAATATTGATATTGTATCTTTGATAGTAGACCCCATTTAATGTAATACACTAATACCAGCATTTTTTCCTAATACTCGGAACACTTCTGAAACGCACTTTTGGGTGTACAGTAAATCCTCGATGAGTGTTCGAAGGCCCCTCGGTACTGAACATTAAATATTTCATAAACTAATGGCCGTATGCGGACGAACAAATAGTACAATCGTGTTCTTAAGTTACTCCCCTGAACCGATCAGATCTAGACCAATGTGGTCTATTATCGCCATCAAATGGAGGGTACGTTTTACAGCGACCTCGAGCAGGCGATTCTTGTGCGACCATAGTGATTATGGACCTGTAATTTCCTCAGGATTCCGTCGTAGGTTTCAGCCAAGTCTTTTCTATCGATCGCGAACCTTGTTTCGCTGGTTCATTATCGAGTGAATCGTCCCCTCGCAGAAATTACAGACCCAATTCGTGCATCGCCACGTGTCTCCACGAAGAACGTGACAGGATTTCTTGCTGACGAGAACGAACAGTGTAGACTTATTTACTCGGAACCACTGATGTGGTATTCGCCTGTACATTCGCAAGAAAATGCAATTCCCTCTCAGTACGGTACAGTAAATTCTCGATGAGTGTTCGAAGGCTCCTCGGCGTTGACAAGGAGAGGTTCCTAGGTGTAACACTGACTTTTTAACGAGGTCCATCACACCGATAGAGCATGAAATTCTAAAGCCAATAATATTTGTTTCAGCCACATATGACCATTAGTTTATGAAATATTTAATGTTACTTGCCGAGGAGTCTTCGAACACTCATCGAGAATTTCCTGTAGTTCTCGGTATGAACCTCCAGCGACAAAATCATCCAACGCCGTGGAAGACAAATGGAATCCTCCACCGTTACCGATCATCGCGATACGCATTAATTTTCGATTTCAGTTTGCGAGCGGAAGTGCGAGAACAACGCGTGCGACATAGCCGGCAAGTGTTGCCACCCGTCGTGTCTGGGTAGGTGCACAGGTCCGACGTCGAGGGACTGCATGGTCTGCAAGGACGTGATGACAGCCGATCGGGATTGCAGGGACAGCTGCCCAAACGCCACCCTCGAGTTCATGAACTATCGTTGCATAGAGGAGAACATGTGTTACCGTATGGAGAAGCCGTTGGAGGCGTTCAACGTGAAGAAGAGCCTGCCGTACAAACCGTTCAACGGGAGCTGCGTGATCGAGTGTCCCCCCGATTACATAGAGGAGGAGCTAAACGGGCGGCTGTTGTGTAAAAAATGCGAAGGACCATGCCAGAAGAAATGCACCGGGGCGAACGTAGATAGCATAGCATCCGCGCAACAGCTACGCGGTTGTACACGGATCACTGGTAGTCTGGTGATCCAGATCCGCGGCGGCAAGAACATCGTGAAGGAGCTGGAGGACAGTCTGAGCACCATAGAAGAGATCGACGGCAATCTAAAGATCGTGCGCAGCTTCCCCTTGATCTCCCTGAACTTTCTCAAGAATCTACGACTGATTCGCGGCAACGACGTCGAGAACTCCAAGTATTCATTACTGGTGATGGACAACCAGAATCTACAGGAGCTATGGGACTGGAGCTGGCACCGGGACATAAAGATCGAGTCGAAGGGCGAGCCAGGCAAGATGTTCTTTCATATGAATCCGAAACTATGTCTGTACAAGATCGAGGCGTTGCGCGAGAGGGCGGGGTTGAAGAAGTTCACCGACTACGAGGTGGCGCCGAACAGCAACGGCGACAAGGTGGCCTGTAACGTGACCGAGCTGAAAACCCGTGTAGGCAACAAGTCACCGTGGGGCGCGGTGATCGAGTGGGAACCGTTCATTCATCATGACGCCAGGTCGTTGCTCAGCTATGTGGTGTACTTCATCGAGGCCCCCAACAGGAACGTCACGATGTACGACGGCAGGGACGCCTGCGGCGGGGACGGCTGGAAGGTCGACGACGTGTCCGTGAACAAGAACTACAGCCTGATGGACCCATCGTCGGTTCTCCGACCGGAGAAGAACGTGCACACGCATTATCTGTCACAGCTGCAGCCGTATACCCAGTACGCGTACTACGTGAAAACGTACACGATCGCGACGGAGAGATCCGGCGCCCAGAGCAAGCTGACGTATTTTCGAACGTTGCCAGAGGCGCCGAGCGTACCCAGGTCCTTCAAGACCTGGAGCACCTCGAGCAACGAACTTCGGATGTCCTGGCTCCCGCCACTTCACAAAAACGGGAACCTTTCGCATTATCGGATTTTTGGCCGATGGGAGCCCGACGATCCAAACTTCATCGATCAGAGGAACTACTGCGACGAACGTAAGTGATTATTTGGACCGTTTATTTTGAAAGTGGTTGTAAGTCCTTTTTTAAAAAAAAATGAGATATGACGTGATTTATGCTTAATTCAGTGTAAACTTTTTGTTTATAACTAGTTAGTATTTAATATCTTAAAAAATTCCAATGCTTTGTTAAACAAAAACCTATGTTTTTTAATTGTCAGATCTGCTAACATTTAATTTTCTCGAAACAAAAGAAAATGGACTTGCACCACTTTCAAAATAAACGATCGATTTATCGTCCTGTGATCGCGCCACAATTCAAGATATTCGTGAATAAAATACATCGTCTTTCAGCGATCCTGCTGACGGACAAGAAGGCGATCTCGGCCGAGGAGGAGGAGAGGAAGAGGATCGAGGAGGAGAAGGAGGAAACGATCATCGCAGAGAGCACCTGCGAGTGTGCCGATCGCGAGAACGATCAGTCGCTTCGAGAGAAGGAGGCTTCCAGCGCGATCGCCTTCGAGGACGCGGTCCACAATCAGGTGTACGTGAAACGTCGGTCGAGGAGAAAACGCGATGTCGCGAGAGTCGCGTTGGTCGGTGGCGCGGATAGATCGCCGGATCAGGTATAATAGTTGATTATAATCGAAGTTTTATGGAACGACGGTTCTTGTCGTTCATTGTAGAATATCGATTACAGTGGCCTCTAAGTATATTGCCATGGTTGGAGCCATGGTCGAGTTCAGACAAAATCTTATTTGGACAATATTCCATTCGGATGACAATATTACTAATATATTTAGTTCATATATTTAATTATTAGGACACTCGGTCTGTTTGCAGAAAACGTGATATTGCGTAAGAATGATATATTCTGGTCCAGTTTTATTACATTATAGTATCATTAGCGTTGTCCACAGAGTTTTAGTATGCCCTAAACAATATTTATTTCAGACTTCCAGCAATTTCATAATACCCTATAACAATTATTGTGTTTTCAATAAATATCCTAATATCTACAAGCTGGAGTGTATAACTTAAAACTATCGAAATATCGATTGGTACAAGTTTCATAAAAATACAATTAAAAAATGATTAAAATGTCCATATTACACACCGAGTATATTCGTCACACAAGTGCATTATTTTGTACGACTTTGAAATTTCAACCGCAGAGGCGATGGTAGGTAAATCGCCATCCAGAGTGACTGCAAAATTCTTATGTCGCGTAGCTAAAATAATCGAATCTTGCAAAGCGTAGCTGAAGTAATCGAATCTTAAATAAAAGCGTTACCGTGCTGCCTGAACATTACCGACATCCATAATTCACTCGGACGTTTCCCATACGTTCAGCCTGTCCTAGACAAAATGGAGAACAACAGCTACATAGTGTTTGAGCGGAACATATCCAGCACGAACCTTTCGTTCACGATGAAAAATCTCCGACACTTCGCGGTCTACAACATCGAGGTGCAAGTCTGCAGGCATCAAGAGATGAACGACACCTTGAAGAAGTGCTCGACCAAGATCATGCGGACCTATCGGACCCTGCCGCTGGAAAGCGCCGACAATATACCCCCTGATTCGTTCAAGATGCGAATATCCGGCGAGAACAACAGTCTCACCACAGTTACGCTTCAGTGGGACGAGCCTCCGCAGCCGAACGGGCTGATTGTCACCTACCAGATCGAGTACAAGAGGGTGGACGTACAAAACGTGAGTGAACACCAAGAGATTATCAATGAGAAATGTTCTTACAAGATAAGACACGGAAGTGTCCTGCTCCAATTTTTATGAAACTTCGTATGTCTGTTCAGCAGTCAAAAATAAGTGATACGTATTTTTTCTTATCGGCTGAGACGCGACTTTAAGGGGTGAAACCACCCCTCGAAGTTTCGACCCGAAAGTTCTATCTCGAAAACCAGGGGAGATACATGGAAACTTCTAATGGACGAGGTTTGCGGTTTTTTGTGTAGGATAATATGGTGCTAACAAATTGTTCGATATATAATTTGTTTATAACAACAATATTTCGGATCGAAACTTCGAGGGGTGGTTTCACACCCCTTAAAGTCGCGTCTCAGCCGATGAAAAAAAATACGTATCCCTTATTTTTGACAGCTTAAGAGACATACGAAGTTTCATCAAAATCGGAGCGATAATTGTTCGGGACAGTAACGATATAGGGAGGTGCAGCGAGCATTATAAAAGCATAAATAGAAGCTTCCTTCGCGGAACTCGGTTCAGCTGGGGACTTGGAACCTAATTCAGTATTTCACAAAATTCTCCGTACTGACCTAAAAGGGAAACTAATTTAGAAGGGGCGGGTTCTTTGGACGCGACTGTCGTGGATACTCTTTGGCGATGGCCGACTTTTAGCTTCTCTGTATGGCTCGACTGTAATCCTTTAAAATATTACATTCAGAGAGATGGAATTCGTCTACAGTCTAGATGAGCTGGAGATCTACTTTTTAGAGCTGCATGGGGCTCGATCTTTCCCTCGTGGTTAATTTTTTGCTCGATAATTTAACTTTGAAGTAAAACGTCTCTGAAAGGCATAATTGAAAATGGTACTACTGACAGCTTCAGGTATCCTAAAAAATGTTTTCAGAATTTTGTTTATTTTTCAATAATTTTTTTAAAGACGACGAAGCTTTCAATGTTCATTTTTAACAATGAAAGTATAATCTATAATGTTCAAACTTCATCTCAGAATTTTTTGCGACTTAATTTAACAAATAGTTTTAAACAACAGCTGATTAATGATCGGCTTGGGTTAAATTGGGCCAGTGTGCGACAACTACATTTAAAAAACTGGTGAAACCGGAGGGTTAAAAGCTTGCGAAGGCTTACGAGTATTCCTATGGATCGTCAAAGAATTTTTGCTGTTCCAGTACGGGCCGAATGTGGTGTGCATTACGAGGCTGAACTTCACGAAGGAGGGAAAATCGTACGTGTTGAGGGACTTACCGGTCGGTAACTACTCGGTGAAGATCAGAGCGACCAGCCTGGCGGGCAACGGCGCTTATACGGAGGTGAAATACTTCTACATCCAGGAACGAAACATCCTCAGCACATTTTGGCTGGTCTTCTGGTTGCTGTTCTGCTTGCTGGTGCTGGCCACGTCGTTCGTGGTATACTACTTCTTGAAACGGAAGTTCATGGCCAACGTGGCGAACGCGACCCTGATCGCTACGGTGAATCCTGAGTACGTTAGCATGCCGTATGTGCTGGACGAATGGGAAGTGCCCAGGGAGAAGATCGTGATGACCAAGTGCCTAGGGAAGGGCTCGTTCGGTATGGTATTCGAGGGAAAAGCCAAGGACATCGTGAAGGACAAACCTGAGGTCCCGTGCGCCATCAAGACCGTGAACAAGAACGCCACCGATCGGGAGCGGATCGAGTTCCTTAACGAGGCGTCCGTTATGAAGTAAGCGAAATGTTTGGAGTCTGATTGGATTTGTAACCGAGCTGAGCTTTTCTTTTGATACGACGATGATCTAGGGAATGCTTTGAAATAGGGATGTCGGGGTGTAATATAAAACCGTGTCCTCCTTGCTAAAACAACAACGAGGACTCTTTGATGATGAAAAATCGTGTAGCCTCGAAACAAAACCCAACTGGTCCTCAGATTATGTTGCTTCGGTGTGAACAAAATGGTCCTATCAGTTGGTGTTTCTTGAAAATGTTTTGGACAGACACTTATTCGTTATGGGCATTGCTTAACCCCTTGCCTTGTAACATCGTGTCTGACTCGTGATGACGATACCATAATGGATTCAAGAAATAGAAATATTATTCATTTTCTTTTAGTCAACGTGAAATACTAGTTTGCTGATATTAATATTTCGCTTTTAGAGTAAATGTATTATTGATGGTGAAGACATTGTGGAGACTGCGGACATCAAGAAAATCATAGGGCAAGGGGTTAATGAAATAATTTCTTCCCTGGTTATTATTTAAAGGACAATTAATACCCGAAAGCCTGTTGACACTTTCGTGACTAAAATTTCACGGGACATTTAGACCCGGGAGCCAATAAATTAAATATGAAAACTACCGCTACAATAAGTGTAACGATATTTGCTTCTAAACTAATCATACTATTAATCATTTGTAATTAGTAAAAGGACATTAAATGTGCGTGTCGCCTACCGATTACAACGGTCAGAATCGTGTGTATTATGTAGGGCGCCTGAACACGCAATAAGCACCCAGTTTTTAATCCTGAAAGAGGCATCGTCATCATTTGCAAAAGTGTTAAATGGCTACCCGGGTAAAATAGTGTCAAAACAGGTCCTCGATAATCTCTGTTCAAGTAGATCCTTCCATCAGTTCTAATCGATGCCATAAACACACCCCTCTTCTCGCAGAGGTTTCGACTCGCACCACGTGGTCAAGCTGCTGGGTGTGGTGACGCGCGGTCAGCCGACTCTGGTGATCATGGAGTTGATGGGAAATGGAGATCTGAAGACCTACCTGAGAGGGCACAGGCCTGACGCAGCGGACGAACAGCACCCGCCGCCGAAGCTGGAGAGAATCATTCAGATGGCGATCGAGATCGCCGACGGTATGGCGTACTTGGCCACGAAGAAGTTCGTGCACAGAGATCTGGCCGCAAGGAACTGCATGGTCGCAAAAGACCTGACCGTGAAGGTGGGCGACTTCGGGATGACCAGGGATATATACGAGAGGGATTACTATCGGAAAGGAAGCAAAGGCCTGCTACCCGTCAGATGGATGGCGCCAGAAAGTCTACAGGACGGTGTGTTCAGTAGCTCATCCGACGTCTGGAGCTACGGTGTGGTACTATGGGAGATGGTCACATTCGCGTCGCAACCGTATCAAGGTTTATCGAACGATCAGGTATGCGCATAGTTGGATCTAGGATTAGAAGAATGAAATTCTCTATCAGACCGTTTTCTGACCGTGTTCTTTTGTTCGATCAAGGTTCTACGATACGTCATCGACAGAGGAGTGATGGAGCGGCCAGAGAATTGTCCAGAGTTGCTTTTCGACGTGATGAAGCGAACTTGGAAGTACAGTGCGAGTAGAAGGCCTTCGTTCTTGGACATCGTTACGACACTCCTGAATCACATCGACGTCGAAACCTTCCAGAAAGTCAGTTTCTATCACAGCAAGGAGGGGATCGAGGCTCGAAGTCAGAATAGGTCGAACTCTTCGCAAACTGACGAGTAAGTACTTATATATTACTACCGTGAACATTCGGTTGTGCAGTTGTTATCGGTTAACAGCTGAAGAAACGATCCTCTAACGTTTCATAAAATTCTGCGTTATTAATTTCCAGGCACTTAGAACTTTCGACTCTGCAAGACCTGCAAGAGGAGGAGGTGGAGGGCGACGAGGACTCCCCGTTGCGGCAAGATTTCGGCGACTTCGAGAGCTTCGAGCCAAGCAGCATCAAGAACAGCTTCAGCCCTCACTATAGAATGGACTCGTACGGGGAGAACTCGAAGACGACCAACATGAACAGCCACAACATGAACTCCTCGAATGTGCCGTTGAAGGCGGGTTTCGACGACTTCGACGGTGTTTCAGCGGGCTCGATAGCCTCCGGAAAAGACACATTGAATCTGCCATTCGTAGAGGACAGCCTGAAGTCGGTAAAGAGCTCGCCGTTCATGAACGCGAAGAGCTCGTCCCGAAGCAACATCAGCCAGCTGTCCGTGGACAACAAGTCCATAAGCCCGAGGAACGCTGGCAAGAGGAGCTACCTGAACAGCCCTAACTCGTCCAAGATTGCGAATCCAGACTACGAAAATGGCAGCCCAGAAATCCTGTCGGCCGCTGAGAAGAAGGAGACGGTGCCGTTGCGGGTGGACTTCCCGTCCATGGACGCAATCGGCATCGACCACGAGATCGAGAAGAAGGACACGATACCGATCACGGATTACGTGAACAAGCCAGAGACCCTGAACAACGGTTATATCGGTGGCACGACGACGTAGTCTTAACGCGTTCGCGGCTCGAGTTCGCCGCGATCGATACTCCACGACTCGAGACACCCTGGACGACCGATCATAAAGGGATTACCAAATATATCGAGCATCGGAGCGTAAGCTCCCGAACGCGAAGAACGAGCGGCGAATGCGTTAAACGGCGGAACCAAACATTCGGGAGAGTCTCCGACAAGCGGACCGTGTTCAGGATATTCGATAAATCGAGCGTGAGGGGGCAGTGTCTGTGCGATAGCTAGCGAGCTACGAAACGCTCCCCGCAACAGAAAACGTTCCAAGAGCCCTGACGCCGCGTCCACGCTCGAGTGACGCGTTAGACAAAAAAAAGTGCGCTTCGGACTAGAAGGAGATATACTAACTCGTAAGTTGTATTTTAAGCCTTTAAGACGCGATTGGCCACCGCGTGGCCCTACCTGGATATATTTGGTCGATTAATCCTCCGACGGATCGCTTATCTAGCCGGGTAATAACAGCCGCGAACGTCCCCTCGATATTTGTCTCCGCGCGTGGCCTATCCCCTCCCGGCTTCACCGGGTCACCGGAAGTTTTAACCGGGCCCGCGACCCCGTTACAGCAGACACTGCCTTTTTAAACGAGTGGGAGGAAATTTCGTGGCGTTCTCCGACCGTTATCGAGAACGACCAGCTGAAAAAACGGCGACGCAGCAACGCCATTGCTGATCCGCCGAGAATTGGCCCCGCCGAACGAACACGACCAGCCGAATTTTTTCGGCTGCGAACCGTAATCGTATCAGAGAGATTTACAATTATACTATATTCGTTGTACATGTGGACGCGGGGTGACCTTTAATTGACGCCACTGACGCGATCGCATCTACATGTTCAAGGGACGAAGCGCTGGTTCACATGAAAGGTGTTTCTGATCGTGGATAATGATGTTAAGGATTATTCAAGCTCACCAAACATTTTGCTGACAAATGACCTATACGTAATCTATTTTTAAGCGTTAACAGAGAACATTGTATTCTTGTTGTTGTAGAGTTTCCGTTCGTGTGCTCGGACCACACGAACTTGACCTAGAGCTCGACCTTGACAATCGCGTCGGTGGTTACGCAAGAGAATCACCCGGAGAAATGTGTATGTGTACATACATGTGAATATGTTGCGTGTTCCGTGAATTCGACGATCCAGAGACATGCTTTCTGTGTTCGTTCGAACGACAAGAGACCGCCGCCGCCGCCGGCTTATTTCCTTTCGTTAGCGCGGCGATATCAAAGCGGCAGTCGGGCCCGCCACCAAGGCTACACGATTTTATATTTTCCAAGGAATACACGAGGTAACGCGCGCTTGGCTGCCGCTTCCCGCGGTTTTCGGCTTCTTCGGAAGACGGAATATATCCGGAGACCGACTATTCGAGGCTGATTCCTGTAGGATCTTCAAAGTTTTAAGAGTACTGATCTATTAGAGTTATTGCCCTCTCCACCTCCATTGCAGAATTTGAGCTTCGGTTCTTTACTTTCTCTACGTCGATTCCACGTACAGGAAATGATCGATGAGTGTTCGAAGGCTCCTCGGCACTTAGTGTTCAAATGTCCCCACCACTGGGCGCTTGACTGGTTCCACGGAGGAGCACCCAGTGAATGAAATAACGTCTGAACACTCACAAGGGAAGACCCCAACTGTCCAAAATTGGATTTGAAAAATTATAGTATACATGTGAAATATTAGGGGTAGACACTCGATAATTTGAAAGTAACAAACAATTAAAATTACGCATCTTCCAGATGTACTGTGAATACAAGTCAAATTTAATCAAAGTAATTGTTAGCTGGTAAATCGGAGGTCCTGGGATCGATTCCCGTTCACCGAAATATTTTTCTTTGACTTCGCCAACGTAACTTAAATAACTTTGACTTACATTCATGGTATATCTTGAAGGTTCGTATTTTCAATTGTTTATAGATTTAAAATCATCGCGCATCTACACCTAATATTTCACATATATCATTAAAAACCTGGATTCCATTATCTTACAAAATCTTAAAAAAACCTTGTCAGTACCGTGGAGTCTTCGAACGCTAATCAATGATTTCCTGTACATAGGAACGATTCACTCGTCAACGATAGGTGTCCCAGCTGAAGGCTCAGGGTACTTCACACCGCGAACGTTCCCTCCGAATCGTGTGCAATAAGAGATACGATTGCCCCAATTGGTGCTAAACGTGGACGGAAACGGATTCGACGACCGGGGGCACACGGCTTCTTCCGCTGGTGTGTATGTATGTACAAGGGAAACGGAATATCTGAAACATTCGGAAGCACAACCCCCCCCCCCCCCCCCCCCTAAAGAAAATACACACTTCCGAGTAGAGAGAACGTAGACTGTCGTTTCTAAGCTCGAGGTCGAGAATCGCGACACCGATATCGACGGGGAGGATGATCCCCTCGGAGATGATTCGGTTCGACGATTCTCGAGCCAGCACGTGGTCGCGTCGGGAGCTAGCGTTTCGGGTACACAAGGAGAGAACACCACGACGCCACACACCACGAGCCCAGCAACACGCGATACACAAGTTGAGTCTAGACACGTAAAACGAGCCTCTAACACAAAGACTGATTAGCTAATCCCGTTTTATTAACGCCCGTATTCGCTGAGTAAGTTTAACGTTATCGAACGAAATGGTAGAAGTTCCATACATATATGTACATACATGTTATATATACGTGTATAAAGTGTATACGTATATATGTATCTACATTTTTTTTTTCTCATCTCTCCGCGAAGGCCATCCTCATTTCTTGTCTCTCCACACTTTTCTCGTGCAACGGCGTAGATCGCGGCGCTTTCTTTCTGTTCTTCTCGCGACCCTTCGAGCGCACGGCCGCGGGCGAAGAGGGTGTGTACACGTATGGAAGAACGGGGAAACGGAATCCCCATTTGTGGCGCTGAGCCCTTTATATCGTGAGTTAAGGTCCATTTATACAGTACGATTCTTTTGTTGTCTTATTGGAAAAGCATGTCGACTGCTTTGTCGTTTCAGAGCCATCACCCTGAACGTATTAACGGTAACTACCTCTGTTATACACATAATCTACTCAGCAGGAGTAGCTAGCAATGACACATTTAGAGTCACCGCTCTTAAACGGCCTATAGACTAATTGAACATAAGTTGCTTCCACTGTTTGAAAGAAGATTCGTAACGTTTGTGAAAAATCTATCGATCTATCTTTGCAACTATCTGCAACACACTTTTATTTACTTACATTCTTTTGGATAGTACCAGGACAATTCTACGACCACCCTGCAGCCAGTCAACAAAAGTATTCTTTAATTTCTTTCAAATGCAACAATGTATACTGCCAAGGTCATCCCAAGATTATCGCAAGTTAATCGAAGGCTCGTCCAGTGCTTGGTCCCCTCTAGTGTAAATGGACCTTTACCAGTTCAACAGCCACGAATTATTCGTGGGAACGGGCTCAGCAGTCGGCAACGATCTGGTTACTCGTGCTGAACAATTAATTCAACAGCGAAAACTGAAACGCATTTTTCCGCCGGCCTCCGCGGACGCGCGCACGTTACGAAAATGGAAACTGGAATTTCATTCATCGGTGTTCGCTCGCCGTTTTCACCCCTCCAGGGATCACGGCCTGTGCGGTTGTCGTAAGCGCGCTGTTGGCTCGCGAAAGTCCTCGAACGTGGTCGAAAAAGAAACTAAAGTTTACAGGATTTTTATACGGGATATTACGTTAGGATTCATAAAGTTAGGACACCTGCTTTATGTCTGACGAAAGGGTGATTTTTCGTACAGATTGCAGCTTATCCGCCATTTTTGTTACTTAATGGTATGCAGACTGGACCAATAACTTTGACCACTTAGAAACAGTCTACAGTTTTCGTTATTTTTAAAGGTATGAACAATTTTATTTGGAAAATTTCTATGATACCGAGGGGGTTGTAACACGCCAGTAATAATTTTTTTTTTTTATTTGACTTAAGCCACAGAGCCCCAAAATCAGACGCCACGATGTTAAATGACATGCTGTATTATTTTATCCCAACGATCTTACAGTGCAAGGTTGACGTTAAATAAATGTGTAAGAGGACAATTCTTACGTCGAAAGCCTTCGACGACGTAAGAATCATTGTTTTGCTCTTTCATTTAATGGCAAATGACCTTGTACTGTATATCATTGAAATGGTCTGAACATCCGCTGTTTTACTAAAAATAACAAACAATATACTGTATTGTTTAAAACAAATAGAAGTGACCTTAAAATCTCAGAAACCCCACGAACTACAACAAAAATTATTACCAGCATGCTACGGCCTCCTCAGTACCGTACTACTTTAGAATGATATTTAAACGTGTGTGTTCTACAGAATACTATTTTTTTCGTATGTCTAAAAATAACGGAAATATTTCAGGTGATCAAAGTTATTAGTCCACTCTGTGTAGTGTTTAAATTACATTTATTCAGAACCATCGATAATTTCATTATGTATTTTCAAGTTTATTTCACATTTAATATCTGTCCCAATACTTACGGTCGAGAATGTAGATTAATGAATTCGCTTCACGAATAGACAAACTTCCGACAGAAATAGGCTCTATATTCCAGGAGTCGACCTGATCTATTTTAATCCCTCTCGAAAGTAGAATGGATCGTTAATCCTTGGTGAAAAGCGTGGCGCTAACTGCATCTTCAACTTCTATCGATAGGACCTACACAGACAATACGCCATTGATCACGGTATCGGCTAACAAGGGTCGAACTGTCCAACTTCGATTTTAATAGGGTTTTGTAAAATAATAGTATACAGGTTTCTCATGATATATGTGAAATATTAGGTCTAGATACTCGATAATTTTAAAGACATAAACAATTCAAAATACGAACCTTCAAGATATACCATGAATGTAAGTCAAAGTTATCGAAGTCACGTTAAAAGAAAAATATTTCGGTGAACGGGAATCGATCCCAGGACCTCCGATTCACCATCCAAACAACCTTATTACTTCGATTAAATTTAACTTGTATTCAAGTCCATCTGAAAGGTACGTAACTTTAATTGTTTATTACTTTAAAATTATCGAGTGCCTATATCTAACACTTCAAATATAGCATTAGGAAGCTGTATATTGTCAATTTACGAAACCTCATTAAAAAGGAAATTGGACAGTTGGTGTCCTTCCCTAATAAGATCTTTCGACAATT